CAGAGTTTCATTTAAATGAGGCTAAATTACAGCACATATCTAGCAAAATTCATTTCTTTCCGTTCCGCCTTTTTAATTGAACCGGGCAGGAGCGTTCATCCTGCTGCTCATGCTGATCGGTTTAACGTCAGCAATTGTACTGCAGGCTCTCGGTTGCATAATGAATGTGTGCCTGGCAGATGAGTCGTTCAGAACTGGCTGAGTTCAGACTAATCTCCACCGAGCAGGCCCGCTAACCACACAGCATCAGAAAAACAGCAGAATTCTCCTTTAAACTAAACAAATTGTGAGATAATTGTGAAGCCAGCAGGCTCACTGACAACCTCCCACTGCTACGGTGAAATCTGCACACGGCGCTTTAAAAAAAGGGTTTGGTTTGGAAAAAATATTGCCGTTAAATTCAATGGACAAACCAACAAAGTCAGTTTAAGTCACCTGCATTTATGCAGCACATTTGAAAACTATAGGAGCTGATCTAAAGGACATTACATTAAAATATAATGACTACAAAAGCATAAGTGAAGCAGCACAATTAAAGGAGACCTATTCTGCTCAGTCCAGCTCCAGAGAGATAGCTTAGCTCCTCTGCCTTTAAGAAAAATGTCCTCTGATTGGCTGCCCCTAAACAACACATTGGGACAGCAGGTGGGTGGGACTTCTGTGCCTGAGATGCCCATATTAGGGATATCCCCTCTGTATGACATCATACAGCACCAGAAGTAGAAAAAACTGAGCAAAGCTGAGTTTTTAGAGCCGGCTCCAGTCTGAGCTGTTGACTCATGGGGATTTCCTTTACACACTCTGACCTGATACGATAATATCTTACAATAATAACTGTTTAATATGAACAGCCAAGAACAGGATAAACAATATGAGAGCAGAGTTCGACATGATGCTGGATTTAAGAGCCTGGGGGCAGCGACGCACACAGATCAGCCAGTTTTGGTTTTAAGGTGGAAGCGAGAATTAATTAAACAAATTCAAGCATATTTATCATGACGCCAGTTAGCATGCTAACAGGTGGCATCAATTTTCAATGTCCTTAAGCAAAGCACTCAGTCAGCAGCATCCAGGGTGATAAATCACCTCTCGGACCTGTAGTGTAATAAGTAAAGCGAGGCTGTTATCACATTTGTTCACCTTGTGCTCGAGTACGCGCTGGTTGGTGGTCACATGTTTATTAAAAATCCAGCTATGCAGCAGCATCATTGATCATCATCAGTAAATAACCAGTGAAATAAAGACCCCAGCCTGGTCCTGCATGCAAACGCTAATGCAGATTTCTATTCACTCATGTGATTGTTATGTTGAACCTGTGAGTCAGCAGGATGTGAGTCACCATTAGAGAGCTGAACACTTCAACGTGCACAGTAAATGAGTAACAGCTGACTGTAAACAGCTGCACAGAGGTCACCAAGTGATGTTT